CAAAACAGAGCTCGGCCTCACCCCTGAGTGCCTCATCCTCAAGTTGTGGAGAAGCCTGTGTACCTGACGGCATCAGACTGTGGCCCGGCTCCCAGGTCACCTCACAGTGGAGTGACGGTTGAACATCCGACATGGGTCCAGCCACTGGGGGAGGTGATGGAGAGTCCTAGTGAGGGAGTGACGGAGGGGGACTGGGCAAGCCAGGTTTGATCCCACGGGACCATAAGCCCTGAGCTACAAGCAGAGGCTCGACAAACCTCTAAAGGACACTGGTGGCCAGTCAACACTCTCCGGTAGAGGACCCCTCCGTGCCTCAGGCTTCCAAGGAGGGTCCTTGACCACATGAAGGCTCCCGTTTGACCTTAGGTCTCCAAACATTTGCTCTTAAAATGGAAGCCTTTGTGCAGGACGCCATCCCCAAGGTGCCTGCACTCACTGCCCGGGAGACCTGGGGCTGAGAAAGACCATTCTTGGGAAGGCCGTGACACGGAGGGTCACTCAAGCCCCCTGGGAATCTGGGGGTTGAAATTGTCCACTGTTGCAAAGAGGGCTTCCATGCTTCTGCTGGGGGGCTTCTGGAGGAGAGCAGGTGCCCTTGGCTTACCTCAGTCTGGATCGAGGGAGCGAGGTCTGGTGAGTCCCATCCTGAGAGTTAAAGGCCAGTTTCTCCCTTCTCCCTCCCCCAGTCAGGGACCAGACCCAAGTTTGTACGCTTCCCTGGGTCTCCATGGTCAGCAGGGCACAGTAACGAAGCCTTTAAGATAAAATGAAGAGGTTCGACAGAGCAAGCACGGTGCAGACTGTAGCTAGGGTTTCAGTAGGAATTCACAATCTCAAAACTCCGCGCTAGGCAGCTGTGAAGACTAATGAAGCAACCTGCACCAGGAACGGCATTCAATGTCACACAAGTGATGTGCTTTCAGGAAGCGGTTGTTCCTGCTGTTGCAGAGAAAGCCGGGTTCAAATTCTGGGGCAAAGAAAGGAAGAGGCACTAATCAAAGTCTCTTTGGTCCAGGGAGCTCTCTTTGCAGTCGGCCCTTCCAGCCAGCTCCAGCCAGCTCCAAGGCTGGCTGAAATGGCCGTGGTGTCCAGAGCCTTCCTCCCTGGACTTACGTGGAGGGAGCCACCTGGCTGTGGTTTGCTGCCCTGCCTTACCCCACCCACAGCAATGCTTTTCCCACTCCATGAGCTCCCTGCTGCAGTAGGAGCCCTGGGGACAGCAGGCTCCCTTCAGGGACTCTCAGAAGTGCTCTTCTCAGGAGCTGTCAATCAAGCCCCTGGGAGTATTTAACTGTTTTCTTTCATATCTGTGATGCTGGGCCTGAGACTTCACACGGCTCTGTTTCATTTCTCAGTGGCCACCCGTGGATGCCAGGGTACCAGCGTGACCCGCCTGCTCCTCTGGGGGAACCTGAGCATGGTGCTCAGGAGACAGGAGGACAGTGCGACGGGAGATGTCTTTGGAGACACTTGGTTGAGATCATCTTGGTCCTCTGAAGGGTCCAGACTTGGTGTCCTGGCATCTGTCTGAGCTATAGAAGCAAGACTTGGGCTCAGAGGCCCAGAATCCTCAGAGAGCATGCTTTCCACCCCGAGGGACTCCCCTGCTATTAATGTCACTTGAGAGGAAGTGACTCACTGGGACATAACAAGGATCACATAATTCCTTATTCATTAGCAATGGACAGAGCACTCACTGCYCTCTAGCACGGGGAGATGAAGGCTGAGCTCCTGGGGGGTCTGCACAGCCTGGAGGCCTGGAGGCCCCTGCGGCTCTCTGTGCTCAGGGACACCCACACAGTGGCTCAGGGTACAGGGGTGTTGCAGGCGCTCCGGCCACAGAGTGGGCTGTTCACGATGTGGTGGGATTCAGCAGAGCCACCGCCCTGCCGATGACCTTAGACATAACCATGCCCCAAGTGAAGGTTAGGCCACCCTGTGGGTGGCCTGCCACTTGGTCTCAGTGAGGTCTCCTGGGCAGGGTGGGACAGCACAAGTGTGTCACTGTGTTCACATCTCAGCCAATGTGGAAGCCAGAGGCCATACTGTCCTCATAACTTTCCTGTTTTTGTCTTCTAAATCGAGATAGTGTTGCATCTGCCAATTGAGACACCAGGGGAAGGATAAAGGGGACTGTGACCAAACAGGGGCCCAAGTTTGGTGACTGTCTGCCCTGTAAACCAGGAACACCAGGTCATCCCAGGGACTTGAGGAGTTTGCTCTGTGACACACGTGATTCTCTTGCGGAAGAAAAGCAGGCTTGCACCCCCGTCTGGGAACCAGGGGAAACACCCTCCAAACGCCCTCATTTGCTCTTCTACAGGTGCCTCCGTGTGAAGAGGTTTGGGTGCAGGGCAGCTCAGCTGTTTCAAGGGGCCGGTGACACCTGTGTGGGTGGCAGGCCTCTGGGCTCCCTCTCTGCCCCCTCTGTCCCCACCGCCCCTAYTCATCACCCACCCAGGCTCTGGTGCGTGTTCCTTTGGGGACGGGGTCCTGCTTACCAACTAGGGGCACTGTGGGGTTCTGTACCCCATTGTTACGCCCCTGGCCTCTTATGGGGTTGGGTGGCCGTCTCAGAACCAGACACTGCAGGGTGTGAAGCTCCGCTGGTTTTCGGGGTGTACTGCAGAGGCGTGGAGCAGAGCGTGGCCCTCTGATTACCAGCTGGGCTTCTCCTCACTGGAAACCACGGTCTTCCTCTCAAGTCCCTCCATCAGGGCTGTGAGGCCCTATCCTGGACATGCTGGACTGTCCCTGGTCTAGTGGGGTCCTTAGTGTAGGGTGATGCCATGTCACCCCCATGGCCACAGGACAAGAGCGCCGAGGGGACTGCTGCGATAGCCATGTGAGGTCACAGAGGCTGGGCAGGATGTGAGTGGCTGCTCTGGGACACCAGTGTAGGGGGCCTGAGAAGAGCAACCCTCGGGCCTGTGCTGGGTCCCAGGACTTGGAGCACGTCCTGGGAGCCCAGGGTCACTGAGGATTGGAGAGGGTGAAGTCTTGACTCCCTCCAAACTTTACTGTTGCGGAAGAACAGCTGTGTGACCCCAGTCTTCATCCACTGGGTTGGGAGGGGCCTGGGCCGTGGGGAGCCCTCAGGAACACATTGATGCTGTCCTCTTGGGAGGAGGGCCTGGGCTAGACAGCATGGGAGTGGCTGTCACAGGGCCAGCTCCGCCTCCTGTCTTGCCTCTCCCACACACAGCAGGTGGCCCTTCCACTTTCCACCAGGCGTAGGGGTCCTTACCAGAGAAGCCACCTGACCTTGGACTTCCTGGTCTCCAGAACTGTGAGTCAAAGCAAATCTCTCTTCTTTATAAGATACCCGGACTCAGGTGTTCTACTGCAGCAATGAACTGAGACACCCAGTTGCAGCAGGCTGGTCAGGTCTGCTAGAGCCTCCCTTTCTTATCCTCTCTCCAAACCTCGTGGAGAACTCCTGGCCACCGAGTAGGGGAGACTCGCCCGCTCCTGAGCGCTCAGAGTAGATAGAATGTTCCAGGAGCCAGCATCCCTTTCCCCAGGTCCTGTCTTGGTTTCCAGGCAGTGTTGCTGGCCCACGTCTAGAGGACCCGTGTCTTCAAGGTTCTGGGAAGCTCACTGTGGGGTGTGCGGAGGAGTTTGGTGTGAGAGATGCCCACGGGTGCTGGCGTGACATGACCCAGGCGAGACCCAACTTATGAGGGGGTGTGGTGGCAGGTGTCAGCCTGGGGGTCAGCATTTGTGGTAAGTCATGTTGGTCCTTCTCCACTGACCTACACTGCCTCAGCATGTGATGTGACCCTGGGACTCCACGTCACCCGGGACTTTCACACACTCATGCACCTGGGGGTATGTAGGTATGGGGGCAGGCTTTTAAGGACAGACAGCTAAGGTAGGTGACGGCGGTGGGCCGAGTGGCTACGAGTCTGTCACTGGTAAGTGCTGGGTGCACAGTCTCCCATGAAGTTTTATTATTCCTGAATGACAGCATCGGTATTAATTAAAAAGGTCCACAGATAAAATGCATTTTGGGGAGTAGTTTTGGCTTCATTATTTATTAAACTTGGCAGACATTAAGTTAGTATTTTCATTTTGATATATCCCCTCGGGTATGCACCACGAACTAAAATATAATCTAAATATAAAGCACTCTGGTGCTGTATGCCATCTCTGTACCTCACAACACACCAGACACCGCGGCGTCTTACGAAGTCCACTCTAAATATGAGGGCGACTCCCAAAGCCCGGACCGGGGTCTCGGCATCTGCTCCTAGTTCCATGGAGCTTCCTGTCACTCACACCTTCCCGTGCTGGTCTCTAAGTGCAAGAGCACTTGGTGTTTAGGTAGCACCATTTGCAATAACTYGAAGGGCTGGGCAGCCTTGAACACCCACTCTCCTGACGACTGTGAGRGAAGCTGACTCAGAATGAGTGGCCCTGAAACTCACAGTCAGGACGGAGCCCAGGCAAGGGCAGGAAGGAACCCGAGCCACGCTGGCTGGCCGGTGATCGGAGGATGCACTCGCCCCTGGCTGCACACCCAGGGGCACCCAGCACCTGGCACGGGCAACTCCTGCTGYACCCTCTGAAGAGCCAGCCGCTGCAGTGCCAAGCTTGGCCTCTCTGGGTTTGTCTTTAAAGATGGCAGAGATGCCAGAGTGGGGCTCCCTCTGCCCCACCCAGCAATGGGCACGGGATTGGGGTCCCCTACGAGGAGGAAACTGTGCAACAAATAAGTACTGTCTCTGTGGCTCATGTGGCAATTAACACACCACCCGCACCCTGCACCCGCTGTTCCTGTCTGTCCAGCGACAGGTCTGCTTCTGTCACATCCCGACCGCCCCGTCCATGGTGAGGGTGACGAAGAAGCGGCTTGCCACCGGCACCAGCATGGGACAAGTCTCCTCTCTCAGAGTGAAAATGCTGATGTACAAATGGTTTAAATTACTTAGAAATTTTAATCACAGACATTTTCCCACTCAACATTCCCACACACGTGGACTCTCCTTTTTTGCACAAACGCTGTATAAGCCGTCTCGCTGAACCTCGCAGCTCTCCTGTGTACACATCCACACCCTCTTCATTAACACCCGGGGTCTCCAGGGCGGTCCCAGACCAGCTCTCCAGCCCAGAAAATGCAGAGAGGAAAACTGTCTCAAGGAGGCTGGGGGCAGCCGTGGTAAAGGGCAGGAGTGGGAACTGGACAGCTGCTTCTTCTAAGCTCAACTCAGAACCACAACCACACTGAGGAGGRCAAGGGCCAGAGGACCTCGCTCTCTGCCCACATTCTCCCAATGTGCCAGCCTGAAGCCAGGCCGTCTGCAGACCCCGAGGGCAATCGGGATCTGGCTGGCTGGAGTTCAAAGCAGAGACTTCAAACCAGCTGGTCACCACTCAGGGCTGGAGGGAGGGAGGGCAGAGGGGACGGCCTCAGGCTTTCAAGTGCATCAGAAGAATCAATGTCTTTCCTTTTTTGTAAAGAAAATCTGTAAATGATAAGAAATCCTGGCTTAGAAAAATATAACTTTCTAAAAACTTCTATCTGAGGACGTTCCACTGCAGAAGAGTCAAAAGGGTGGCGAGAGTGGCAAGCAGCAGCGGCCAGGCTGCAGCTCCCGGTGCCCGGCCGTAAGGGTGGCCACGACTGTCCTCGGGCGAGTCYTCTGCTCGGGGCGAGGAGGAGGCACACTGCACCAGGGGCATCTGGTAGGAGGTGGCCCTCTTCTCCGGCCTGTCAGGACTGGACCCGTCRCTGGGCCTCTGGCCGTTGAAGAGCAGGTAGCGCCCCCGGGCATCCTGCTCCATCTTGAAGATCTCGTACTCCGTGTGAGGTAGCTTGATGCCCAGGGCCACGCACCCGTTGGTGTGTGTCACGTCCTGCTGGATGCCCACCTGCCAGGACCCCTCGGCCCCACACTCGTTCCCGTTGAAGACGTTGAGGAGCGAGGCTGTGGCCGCATCCATGGGGGTGACCTTCATGTGATTCACTGTGGAGGAGAGAGGAGAGTTTGTAACTCCAAGGGACAATACATGGCGGGGGGAGTAGGCGTTCACCCAGCAAATGCTGGGGACGCTCCATCCCAACCAAGCCTCAGCTCCCTCCCCGGCCAGCTGGCCGGGCAGTCCTGAAGCACTCTCAGGGGGGAAGAGTCCCCATGTCATCTGAGTGGGAGTCACAGGGAAGACAACCACCCAGGCCACCCAGGCTTCCAASGACCCAAGACGGGGCAGGGGAGCCGGGTCTGACTGAAAGCAGACTCTTCCCTATTCCCCAAAGGACCAGCACTGACACCGTCTTAGGCAAGACCAGCCTCCTAGGGAGGCTCCTGATTAAGGATGCGGGGACTGCAGGTCACACAACTGCTACACAGCTGTACCTGGGAGGGAGGCTTAAGCAACTTCGGATCTGGGAATCTTGGGGGTCCTGGAGCCAACTCCCCGTGGATCCTGAAGGGTGACTGCACCCGGSAGGGGTGGCCAGAAAACAGACCACCCTCAGGCACAAATGCAAAGCCCAGTCTGCGGCGGAGCAGGCTTCTGGGTTTAGCATCAGCCTGTGTGGGAGACTTCTGAGCTGTCTGTTTGGGAGGCAAGAATATTCAATAAAAGCTGGAATTTTGTTTTGATGAAAAAGTGTTGTGATGTCTAAAAGCGTCAGATGTCTGTATTAGCCTCAGCATCTCATGAACTAACAGCAGGCCCCTAAGTCGGGCATCTAAAGTGAGTGAGCAGGAAAGGCAGGCAAAGAAACCCTGGCCAGTGGCGAGGCTCTGCCAGCTGCCCCAGGGGAGCAGCTCCTGTCGGGGACCCAGGGGCTGAGGGGACTGTGGGGAGGGGTGCTTTCTCTCAGCCGGCCCACCACCTCCTGTGCTGGGGGAGCGAACCTTTCTCTCTAGCAGGGCCCGGGTGGGYAGAACATGTTAGCCAACAGCTCTAGAACCCACAGGGAGGCCCTCCCAGGTGGCCGTGCCTCTTAACTACAAGACAGAGCTGACACTGGATATGCAAAGAGGTTCAAACTTAAATCCTGAGACCTCCTTGTTGGGTGACAGTACCCGGCCTGAACTCCCCAGTGCTGATCCCCCCGCCTTCCCCAGGATGACCTTTCACATGCAGGGCCAGCTTAGCTGGGAGGTGACAACTTTGAGCAGCCGAGGGTCACTAACAGTCACTCCTTGTTGCCCACTCAGCATATAAGCAAGCACAAGGCTCTCAGGGGGACAGCTCAGGATGGCCACAAGGTGTGTGGCAAAAAAAAAAATGCAGATTGAGTCTTACTGGCAGTGACAGCCTCTTGGGCCACACCCACAACTGCCAACCTGGTGGCACCTCTGCCACCCTGGAGCCCGCAGGACCAGACCCAGCACCCGGCCCTGCTGCGAGCAGGAGGGGCTCGGGGTATTTGAAGGTGGCCTTCTGATTTGTCCCCAGCATCCCCAGCATGAGAGGCCCCACTGAAGCCCGGTGACAGCACAGGCAGCCRCCTACCTTTGAACACAAACTCGGTGCCGCCCAGGACCCTGGAGGAGAGCACGCCGCGGCTGTAGCGGCCCCGGGCGTAGATGGTGAAGGTGGGGTGCTTGCACACGGGGTCCGAGTAGTGGTAGTAGTGTCCCTCCCAGGTGTGGTTGTTGTCGTGGAAGATGAAGTGGCGGGTGAGGAAGAGGACCTCGGGGCGCACCTCGCAGCGCTGGCTCACCCACTCCCCGTGCAGTCCGATGGTCAGCTCGGCCTTGGGGGGCAGGATGGGAGGGTGGTGCTCGTCCGACCGGTAGATGATCCGACAGGCGATGCAGGCGTGGTCATGGTTCTGCGGGCAGGAAACCAACGGGTCTCAGAGACCACTGAGCCCCCACGCTGGGTCCACGTCACTTATCATGCAAACTCCCCAGGGGCACCTGGAGCCGGGCTGCGGTGCCCGGGGAGAGGTGCGGGTGTGCTGGACGAGGGTGTGTACCCAACGCCCGGCGGGCAGACCTGCCTAATGGCCCAGCTGTGACAGGGGCTCTCTTTAGGCTCCTAGCAGTTTCCAGACCACAAAGGATGGCCACAATCACAAACCCACAACCCACAAGTGCTGGCAGGTGCTCGGCAACCAGAACCCTTGCATCCTGCCGGTGGAAACAGCGCAGAGTCCTTCAGAACAGTGAGGCGGCCACTCAGATTGGCCAACAGCTACCAAGCGAGAGCAGCGCCCTGGACGCGGACTGGTACACCCAAGGGACCCTGGACACAGACTCGGATGCTGAAGGGCCCTGGACGCGGACTGGTACCCTCGAGGCTCCCGGGACGCAGACTCAAACGCCCGAGGAGCCCTGGACACAGAATCGGAGGCCAAGAGGCCCTAGATGAGGATTCGGATGCCTGCGGGGCCTTGAACGCAGACTCGGATGCTGAGGGGCCCTGGACAAGGACTCGGATGCTCGAGGCACCCTGGACGCAAACACAGCATCATTCACAGGAACAAAAGGTGTGCACCAATGCCCCATCCACAAATGGACATTAACCAAGTCGGGCCTCTATTCACACTGAATATCGCTGACACCTGCTAGCACATGGATGGACTTGAGGACACGAGCCAAGGGAAAGGACAAGCCTGGAGCCGTGAAACTCAGAGGCAGCAGCATGGTGGCCATCAGGCCTGGGGAGGACGGGTAGGTGTGGGGTCTGCTGGGCGGTTTCYAGTCAGCAAGATGGAGGGAGCCCAGGCTGGGAGTGGACAGGGCTGCACATCATGGGTGTAAGGAATCCCCCTACCTGCACCCTTCAAACCGTCAAGAGGGTGTGGACATCAGGAGAGCRGGTATGGCCCAAGTCCCAAGGCACCTCCGAGCCAGGGCCTGCCTTRCCCTGGACATGGAGCGGCACCCACAGGGTAGTCCCAGGCCCATGGGGCTCACAGAACACTGACCTCTGGAGTCACGCTGCCCTCTGATCAGGGCTGCCGTGGGCAGGGGACCAGGCCGCTCCCTTTCCCGGGCACCTTGGCTCCMCAGCCCCATCTTCCAGCCCAAGCAGGTGTCCGCTTGAGCCCAGCATTTGACTCCCTGAGTCAGAGACCCAGTCAGCAAGGTGGCTCAAGATTGGGGACGCTGCTGTTCTGGAGAGGGTGGGCAAGGGTAGGGGTTCCCAGCTGTCCYCTCTACGTTCCCACCCAGCAGCTCTCTGGGCTCAGGAGTGGGGACTACGCATTCCTCAGGTGAGCTGAGCTGCAGGTTGGGAGTGTTCCTGGCTAATGCACTGTGGCCCATGATGACCATATTCACAGGCAAAGTCCTTGCTGCACYCTGGGCCTGGGTGCTTTGTTGCCGTGGCCTCCTCGAGGGTTCTGAGGACACAAGGGAGAACTCACACTTCTGTGCAGCCYGAGCTCAGCAGGGAGCTGCCCTCAGCAGGCCACGGTGAGACACAGTGAGACCCCAGGTATGGCCCACCAGGGCAGTTCAGGCCTGGGGCCAGCCACGGCTTCATGGCTATGGCCTCRGGAGAGCCTCTCACTTGTTAAACCTCCTCCTTCGTGCATTATGGTCACTTGCATAACTGCCAGAAAGAAGGACTTTCAGGCCAAGGTGGTTCTCAYGCAGGACACCTGCTTGGGGGTGAAGCCCAGGTAAGCGGCCTGCTCCCCATTCTGGGCCACTTTCAGATGCCCGTAAGGTGGATAAAGACACTGAGTGAAGAGAGCAGCGCCAGGGAGGAGCTCTGCCCTTACGCATTCCCCTGGTCAATTACTATTGGCTGCAAGTTCTGAAATGTTCACCTTCAAAGACAGGTTCTGACATTTAAAGTCCAGAACGGAAGGTTAAGGAAATGCCYGTCATGCCCAGCGGGGGTCCTGCACTTCCATCAGGGCTGGGACATCTTGGTGCCCTGCAAAGTCCTCACCAACTGCCTGTTGTCCTGGCTCCCAGGCCCTCACTGGCCAGAGAAACCCAGACCATAACTTGCACTCAGCTCACTAAGATCTCACAGGACAGGGGGGATCCTCTCCTGGTTCTGTTCACAGAGACCTTTAGGGTGTACAGGGACCAGCATCTGGCCAGGTATCACCCGTGGGGGCTGCCACATTCTGGAAAGAGGAGCCACGTTCAGTGGGAGCCAGAAGGGTGGGGCCCCTGAGTTTAAGTCCTCCACAAGGGCCACAGGCCCTCCCTTCCGGAGCTCAYAGCCAGCAGGTATGTGTGCTGGCCTCTGTCCCTGTAGTCCTCAGGGGCTGCCTGGGCTTTGTCCTTCACCCGACCACCCCAGCCACTCCCCACAACTTGGTCTTCCGTCTGTGATTCAGAAGTTTAAAACACCAACTGTGCCTACTTCGTTTCTGGCCATTCTGGAAGATGARCATCTCAATCCACGGAAAGATTTGGTTTTCCCGTCAAATACCAGTGTCAACTGAGGGAAGGCTCAGAAGGCCGCCTGGAGAGGGAAGAAGGGATCTTAGCTCTGCAAGCAAWGCTGCTAGTGGTGAGGCTAAGGCCTCTGGTTCTGTCAGGAGAAGGTCCAGGAGAGGGGTGGTGGACACAGCTGTGACCCAGGCTGTCTAGAACAGCACCACGCCTGAGTGCTGTACTTGGTGYTTTAGAAGATCTCTGCTTTAAGAGCAACAGGCAGGGGTTCTGAGCTCCAGATGAGAACCTGGCTGGCCAGCGGTCATCTCAAGAGGATGCTGGTCATGGATGGTGCTTCTGTTGGTGGCAGAGAAAAGCCACCAGCCCTGGCTTCCACCAGTTGGGTCCGGGAGTTCAGGGTAGTGAACAGGGACTAGGACCTGGCTGGTATGTGCTGGTCTGCCTAAATTCCTTTTGCTCCTTTTGTTTCACTGTAGTAAAAAAAATGCCTAATCAGTGGCACTGAGTGCGCTCACACTGAAGGGCAGCCCTGGCCACCTCCCTCTCTAGAGCTCTGCACCTTCCCCAGTTGAAGCTCTGGGCCACTGAACACTGCCTGTGCCCAGCCCACAGCCCTACCCACTCATCTCTCTGAATCTGACTACTCTGGGTATCTCTTATGAATGTGATCACACAGACACACAGATTTTTTTGGGGGGTGGTGGGGGGTGGGGACTGGCTTGTTTCATTAGCACAATATCCTCCAAGTTCATCCAGGTTATTGCCTATGTCACAATTTCCTTCCTTTTTAAGGCTGAATAAT